TCTGAAGGATCTAAAACACTGTACGGGACCTGGGCAAGTAGGTCAGCGTTTTATAGGGTACAAACTACAGTAAGTGTTTACATTTAAAGACCTGTGTGGAACGAAGGGTCGAATTTAGGAAGTGCATTAAAAAAAATTTATACCATTAAATACATGTCAGAGTTGCTATTTTGACAGGATTTCCAAAATTTCACGCAGTGTAAACATGTGTTGTGAAAGCTACCCATTTTAGTCTGAGTCATTAAAAGCCCATTTTCACCTTTGTAAGTGATTACCATTTACTGTGGTAATATAGAGGTGCAGTGATGGTGTATATGTGTGTGCATTTTCATGACTCTCATTGCTGGCTTTCTTAATAGATTACTGTCTTTGTAGTAGGTCCGAGTCCTACAAATTGAAAATTTTCTCCACATTAAAATCAGTCTGACACTGGGGTCGGCTTGTAAAGCAGCTTACCCCCACCCTGTTAGTCATTGTAACAAGAGCACTGTACACCAGCTCTACCATCTCAGGTCACAATACACCATCCAGGGGTGGTTGCCGCTATGAACATTAATAAATAGGAGGAGAGAGCTCAAAAAGAGAGAGAGTTCATTTACAGACTGCTTGCAAAGCACAGAGGTGGCCATTTCAAAAAGGAGCCATGAGGAGATGAAGGGGACAAAAAAGTTTCTGTGCTCGTATACAGCAGCTGCATGTACCTGCTTCATGTTTACTCGGTGCACATTGCTGGCATGTTTTTTTTTTCTAAATATCTCTGTAAAAAGATGAAAATGGGCTTTAAGGCTAGAGCAGTAGTCATACTCATTTCTTCGCGCAATCATAATTGATCAAATCCCAGAAACACTGTAAAACGTACATGTCTTAATGGTTACTGGTTTAAGCCCCTTTCAGACAGGCTTTCCATCAGGTCCTCCTGTCAGTTTTTCAGGACCTGATCAGAAGCCCCATGTTAGTTTATAGGCAGCTAGATTTAAACGGACAGCCGTCCTTTTACATCTGGTTACCCCTGACTCCGGCCAGATCCAGATCCTGAAAAACAATTGATCAGAGATCCGTTTTGCCGACCTGATCATGCCATATTGGGCTAACCAGATGTAAATGGACACCTGTCCATTTAGATCTGGCTGCCTATACACTAACATGGGTCCAGTAAAATCAGTATTTCAAGAGACACAGATGTACAAACGATGACATCCTGTAACGGCAACCGCCGTCAGCCCTCAGCAAGGGATCGGGGCTTGCGGGATTCCGCCGCTTCTCGGGGCCGGCCGGTGCGTCCCATGGTGGAGCGCACACATCCTCTTCCGGGTTCGGAGGCCGGGTGCATTCCACCTTGGAACGCGGAAGTGCGCCGCTCCGATCAGCGTCTCCTCCCCCAGCTCTTAGCCCTATATAAACGCCCCAGTGAGACAGTATGGCGTTCCACGATTGAAGACTGAACGTCTGCTGTCTCCTGGGACCCTTCAGCTCACCTACACCGTGCAGCCAGCTACAGTATCCTGGACCGGATTCCTCAGGACCCCCAGCTCCTTCTACCACTCCAAAACCGCAAGTACTGGTGCAACCTGCACCTCCACTGCAGCAGATAGGCTGTGTATCCTCATAACTGGATGACCTCCTGTGTGCCATCTACTGCCCCCCTGGGATAATACACCACTGACTCTATTGCTGCATGCACTCCTAAACTATTGTGACTTTACTAACCAATATAACTTTGCTGATACTGCTGCTTGGGATCGGGCTTATGGAGTAATAACCCCATCCAAACCTATAACTTATGATTTTGGGCTGTGATGCTTGAACCCTAACTCCCCGTTAAGTTTGGGAGTGAAACCAGGGTTCCCGCCTGAGAAGCCTCCGCAGTTGCGATCCACAAACCCCCCAATTCAAACCCAGGTGTTGCACATCCATTACAATCTGGTCCCCTACTGATCAGACCGTGTGCAAGGAGCCTTAAAGACAAACATGTCTAAAATGGGGGTTCAGCAATGGCAGCTTAAATACTACCACCAGTAGTGTTTCCATAAATGCTGCACTCTAAGAAAACAGCTTAATGCACAGTTGAAATACAGCTACATAAATCTGTCAAAGGGTTTATGATTCTGGTCAGGCAGTCTAGCAATTCACATAGCCAGAAGAAAACTCCACTCTTTTCTGGTTCATTCTCACAATTTCCTGTTTTATCTGCCTGGTCACTGCAGAGTACAACATGAGATGATGCAGAATGATAGTCAAGGCACCTAAGGCAGAAAGATGGCATGGGGAGCAGTAACGCTGGCTATACATAGATTGTATTGTGTCAGATTTCTGTGAATCAGATGAAAATTTGACTTGTGGTCAATTTTTTTAATCAACTTTTGTCGAGGAAGCTGGGTGAATAATTGTCGGCTGAAAAGTGACTGCAGCCTTTCACCTGCAGTTACTGCTTGGGTATCATAACAGCTGTGGGTACTGGTTGTCAAAAATAGAATAGCTAGCAGGGGAGAATCCTTCATCCACGCTGTTTATCATTGATGAGGGAATAAAGTGAATATTCTTGTTTAACCTGCAAGGCTGAACGACAAAAAGAAAAACTTACCTGCCTGACTGCACAGTGTAGCAGATGTGTGTGATTCAAAATACAAATCCTTTGTCAGGAAAAAATTATTTTGCTATTTTGTGGACTTGTGCTATAAAGGGGTGGCTGCAACAAGACCTGCTGACTACTTGTCCAGCACACGTATAAAACTGCGCTGAAATTTCCTTAAATAGCACGAACCAGCAAAAATGAAAGCACGTGCCTGCAATTTATTCATCAGAATTTCTGCATTAATCTTGGGAAAAGAGGATAAACACGAACTGTCCAGTTGTTTGATACACACATAAATACATAGCTGCAACCTGCCTAGTGACAGGGACGCACGCCAAGCACACAAAGGAGATGTAAGCAGGTGCTCATTAATCGGCATTATTAATTCTCTACTTGTTTGGGAAGCATCAAGCAGCGGAGCAGGAATTCTGGGACTGTCTCCTCGTGCTCTCTGCTGACTTGCAGAGGATTTCCATGACTGCTATTTTCCATCAAGGGACATATCATTTGTAACCAGCAATGACACATGATTTTTCTCTCATATATACTGCATATGGACCAGTGCTAAGACTACAGATATAAAAAGAACAACACAGGTGGTAGAACCGTTTCCTTTACCTCATATGGACATTCTGCTTTTTAATATAAAAGCCACAAGCCAATATTTGAAGCAAAATCAGATCTACATCATCATTCTGCAAGCTGTGTAGATACAATTATTTCAGGTGGGAAATGGACTCTGCCTTGTAGCACATTCTTAGAATGGCCAATACACGTGGAGTGGTATAGGACAGTGTCACAGCTAAGATATGAAGGGTCATACAACATCACAGACATGACACTGCTACTGGGTGGCTGAGATTTTGCACAGAATTCTCAGACTCTGAGCATTTAAATAAAGGTAGCGAAAGAAGAGTAATAGTCAAACTGCCCAACTTCATTCAGTTGCATTATGTGTCCATATTTTCCAAAATGCCCGTTAATTAATGCCATTAAATGGATGGGGGAAGTAAGTGTCCAGATTTTCCAAAATGCCCATTAATTACATTTGCATCCATTCAATGGAATGTGTCCATATTGCGCAAAATACCCATTAAATTACATCCCATCCATTCAATGGTATTATGTGCCCATATTTTTCCAAAATACCTCCTAACTACATCCCCATCCATTCAATGGCATTATGTGCCCATATTTTCCAAAATACCTGCTAACTACATCCCCATCCATTCAATGGAATTATGTGTCCATATTTTGCAAAATACCCATTAATTACATTCCCATCCATTCAATGGCATTATGTGTTCATATTTTCCTAAATGCCTATTAATTAAATTCCCTTCATTAAACAGCATAATTATGTCCATATTTTACAAAATGGCCTTTAGTTACATTCACATCCATTCAAGAGCATAATGTACCAATATTTTCCAAAATGCCCATTAATTACATCCCCAATAATAGATATCAGTGATGGGAATCTTCTCCAGACTGCAGAAATTGCTATATTAGATCAATTTTGTTCGCTGAAATAATCCAAGCATTATATCCTCTTAAAGCAGCGCCAGACAAATGCCAGGCAGCCAATACTCCATAAACAGTACAGCTGGCTATTGACTTTTGAGTTTTTCTCTAGTTGCAGTCAATGGAGCTGGCTACTAAAAATCCTACTGGCTCCCAGATTGGACAAACTGGCTCCTGAATTCCTTTTTAATTTAGTCCACCCTTGTCCTAAAGGAAGAAACCGAATTTGAGGGGCAGGACAGCAGGCTTCTTTTATCCAAAAATTGAGTAACATTCTACAGTACGACAAATAACTGGGCGCTGAACAGATTTGAAACTATTTTGAGCAGCCACTCACAGGAAGATGTTAAAGAGAAAAAAAAAAGCTAACTAGTCCAAAGCTCTTTACACAAATACCTGGAAAGCTCAGGGCTCAATGCAAGTATACATAATCAGCTTCATTCAACACAAGATGTCAAAGTGGATATTATCCAAGCCAATAAAAACTTTTGTTAGAAGAATGCCGTGTTTTTTAGCTTTTTTCCCGCATTCAGAATTATTCACGAAATAGCCAGCAGCAAATATGATTGTGATAATGTGTGAATCCATATCCAGTACTGTAATCAGTAACATCAGTCAAGTGATATGGGGCAATCACGCATAAAAGCTGAACCATATCAGCCATCAAGAATGAAGCATGTACAACAGCCCACTTCTACAAATTACTGTATTGATAAAGCATCCAAATTAACAAAGGATATAAATTGTAAATCTTGACTAGTGGGAAAAAAAAATCAGGACAAATTAGAAGTATGGTATGATCTTTAGAGGTTGATACTCAAGGTCAATGGCAGTTCAGATACTCCGTGACATGAAGGCAATGAGCCCGACGTGTAATGCAGTTTTGTTTAGGGCACCACCTTACCTCTAGCAGACAGCTTCTTAGTATTGATAATCTTCGCAGCAAACTCCTGATTAGTAGATTTCTTCACACATCTCCGGACTACCGAAAAGGCACCCCTTAAAAACAAGACAGACAAAGAAAAAAAATGGATCAACTAAAACACGAACCAAATGAAACTTTTGAAATATAAAATATTGATTTCGTATTGGAAATATTTTACAACCATAACTTACATTTCAAAAACTGCAATTTTACTATTCTCAAGTAATTCTGTAGTGAAAATAACCCGCATAAACCCATTTACCTAAGAAGTACTCCAGTGCATATCTGCTATTCTACCACATGAGCCTTGGAGCTCCCACAACATGCAAATGCCAACTAAAAAGTCAATGTGAAAAGGCAGAACTGGACAAATCACTGGAGCCAATGCATTCTAAAAATTACAGCTGGCACCCAACGTTTGAGGTTTGCTCTAGTTGTTGTCAGTGGAGTGGCCTCCTGAAAAAATCCTGCCGACTCCTGAATTGGCCAGACTAGCTCCTGATTTTCAAAGTAATTTGTCCACACTTGGTATAAGGCCACCACCCACCCCTTTATCCCAGGAGGCAATGGCCAGCATCTGCTGAGGCCTTGGCATCACACAAAGGAATGTTCTAGCTTCCAGAGAGTTGGTATCTGCAAGGGAGGGCACTGATAACACTCGGGAGTGTCAGCAAGTAACAAGGAATGTATGTGCTTGTATACTGTACATTTCTTTCCAATTGGTAATTATACTGCCTCTTTCTCTACCAGTTTACTTTAAACGTATATCTAAAGTCAAACTTTTATTTTCCATTTTGGATAGGGATGGGTTAAAATCAGTCAGGGTTTCTTTGCTTCCTGGTGTCCCACTGGGGAGATTTCCCTTCACCTCTTGACCCATAGAAGCAACAGAAAGACAAGAAATCTTCTTAGAAGGAACCCCCCTCTTAGACAGATGTCACCAGAGCAAGTCTTCCCACTGGACAATTACCCCTCTATCTCTGTTCTGGGGACAACTCAAAATTTAGCATTGTTCCCTTACTTTCAGTACTGGTGACAATGGCCAAAAGGACAATTAGAGAAGATGGATCTCCAAGGCAGTGACACAAGCTGCAATACAAATCTGACAGGGGATCTAACCCCTCATTAATCCAAAATCCCCCAAAAACCTCAAGGGAAAATTATTCTTAACCCTTGCAATGGGGCAACCCTCCGCACTGCAAGGGTTAAGTGCTCATTTTCATCTAGTGTCTAAATTAACAAAGTTATACTCAGCTGATCCTTCAAGCCAGCCGGCTGTGACAGCACTCCCTTCAGCCTGTCTCCTCCTCTGCTGCTGCATTGTAATGTCCCACATCCTATACATCCATAAGACATGATGACTCAGAGGACCTTAGACTGCAGAAGCAGAGGGTAACCTATACATCCTGTATAAGACATGATGACTCAGAGGACCTTAGACTGCTGAAGCAGAGGGGAAGAGAGACTGAAAGAGCCAATCTAAGAGTTAGCCAGCTTATAATATTATTATTATATATGAATGAGTGACCTGGTATAAAAAACAATACTTAAAGAAGAACTCCGGCAAAACTTTATAGTCACCCGATCCTCCGAGCCAGCTTGCTTTTAGACTGGTCCCTGGAGCCTCTCTCCCTCTGCTCTGCAGCGGTCTAAGTAACCTTGAGTCATCACATCCAGACGTGAGGCTGCGGAGGGACGTACCATAGCTGGAGCAGAGGATGAGACAGGCTAGAGGGGGGCGCTTGGACAGCCAGTCAGCTCCGAGGTTTGAGTAAGAGTAATTTTTTTATTTTCGCACCTAGACGAAAATAAGCACTTAACCCTTGCAGGGCGGGGGTAGCCCCACTGCAAGGGTTAATAAAAGTTTTGACCAAAGCTCTTCTTTTAACATGGCTGAACTGTACAGCACAGGCACCATGATCGTTACAGATATCACAGTGGTCAAAAGAAAAAAATAACACAAAACAAAAATAAAAAAGGAAACGATAAACCTATACTATTTACTCACAAAAGCCACCATAAGAATTTTAGAAAATAGTAAAAATTAAAATAAAATGTTTCGGCCTGACAAATTCTGCTGCGGGAGGTGCGTTGCAGTGCCATTCATTTCAATGGCACCCCAAACCACCTCCCACCTAGTGTGATTGCCCGCACTGGCACGCACGGTACCGCAATGCCGTCCGTTCCAGTGCAGTGTGATTGCAAACGATTGTACATGCCGTTTTATTCTGAAGTAAACTATGTTTGTAACACTGCATGCGCTGATTTTATTTTAAATTAAGGACGGTATTTATTAAATTTTTGTTATCGGATTAATCTGAAAAAATAAAAATCGGCCAACTAAATCGATTATGAAAATAATCATTAGTTGCAACCCTACCAATATCACAATTCCACTAACGAGCCACCTCATTATTGAAAACAAGTGCAGTTGGTGATCACCATATAAGTGAAGTACAGACTGCCGACAGTTCCTTGGCAATAGTGCTATGAAGGGCTGTAATATACCTCTAGCGTGGCCTAGACAGGAATCAAGGCCTCACTGATTTACTTTGTGAACTAACAGGCTAACATTTATTTAACCTACAAAGCTGCTACCTGATGGGTCCAATTTACTATAAAGCAAATGGCAATCCTAATATTGCAAAACCATGCACACATGGGCAAGCCATAATGTTCTCAGACGAGTTATAGTAGATCCAAAGGGGAGGGGTAAATTTACAGTGGACCTTTACCCCCTCTAACTTAAAATCACATCAGCATGCAGCTCTACATGCTGATAAAAAAATCCTCTTACATTCATTGGTGTTAAACATTATTTGCTTTTACTTACAATTACTGTTTCTCTACTTCCTGGTTGAGAGAGGCACTGGTGATGTAGCTCTGGCCTCACAGATGCATCCTGGGAAGGCTACATCACCAGTGCCATCCTAGGAAAATCTCATCTGTAAACTCCAAAAATCTCATGATATCCTCTGAGATGATGTGCACAGTCACATGTTCCAGGAGGCAGATCCAGACTCCAGTAAAAAGGAGATGAATTAATCTGCCCTTAGTGAAAATGGCCACCGTAAGAAAAACAGGGAGGAAAAGAAAAATAAGGAATGCAAAGAATAAAAAGCCTGCCATTATCTAGAAGTATGTGTTTGTGGATTGTCATTACTAAACATTTCCAAAGGTGACTTTGTTGTTATTTTTAAGATAAGGGTGACGTTCCTCTTTAACAAGGTAGATGCTGACATAATTAGGTGCTCTCTCTCTCTCTCAAAGCCATCAGCCTGTCTTATTAAAGGATTTGAGAAGGTCTGCCATGTTATTTAACCAATGCAGCTCTAATCTGCCAGCTGACTAACAGTTTTATAGGGTCTGAGGGATTTTATATAATGGTTCGGTGCGCCTTCTGAGTGAAAAAGGAATTGGGCTAAAATGCCACTGTAAATATGTGCTTAAATAATTTAACATTGATCGCCTTTTTCTCCGCCTCTATCAATTCTATGGTTTATAAATTCTCCCAAGGGTCAGAGGCTAGTCCAGCTCCATTGCTGCTGCAGGGGGCCGCTTCTGGATCCCGCTACATGAATTATGTACATTTTACCTGGATTCAAATCGGTTTCCTCTATAAGACTATGCATGTGTGTGTGCAAATCTAGTGTAAGTGCATAACGTTCTTAAGATCCACTGAGGCAGAAGCTGAAGCAACTAGTTCAATGGTCAAGTGCTGTAATATAGGTAAACAATAATACAGTGCTTTTCTGTACATTAACTGTACATCACAGTCAGTAAAGACACAAAACAAGCAGACAGGACAACAGCTTGTTAGAATCCACTAATATGGATGAGATGTGCCAATATGGTAGTCACCGCAGCACATAGGATCTGAGCCATCCCCTAACTTCTCTCCAACCCACAGTTTTGTAGAATACTTTCTTGAAGCAGACATGCCGCCTTCTACTGGACTGCAAAGCCGCTCCCTGACCATGTCACATGTGAAAAATGTTGGAATGCAATATAACCTCAGTCACTACTGGAGGAACACAAAAATGAACGCACTGGTTGACAATACCAATAAACCAAGAGCAGATCAAGATTTGATAAGGGAGAGACAGAGGAGAGAAAAAAAGGAGACAGAGGAGAGAAAAAAAAAGGAGAGACAGAGGAGAGAAAAAAAAGGAGAGACAGAGGAGAGAAAAGGAGAGAAAGAGACAGAGGAGAGAAAAGGAGAGAAAGAGACAGAGGAGAGAAAAGGAGAGAAAGAGACAGAGGAGAGAAAAGGAGAGAAAGAGAGAGGAGAGAAAAAGGAGAGAAAGAGACAGAGGAGAGAAAAAGGAGAGAAAGAGACAGAGGAGAGAAAAAGGAGAGAAAGAGACAGAGGAGAGAAAGAGAGACAGAGAGCCCATACCCAGAAGTATATACATACCCACACACATACAACTAATGATGACAATTAGCATGCTGTGCTGTACAAACAGCTTCTAGGATTATCATGGTGAATCACTACAAATAATACAAGTCACAGTTTAAACCCCTGTCCACAGATTAGACCTATCAGACCTACATAAGTTTATGCAAAACACAGCTGTCAAGTAGCTGTGAACTACAAAACACAGCAAACCCTTGACATTGTACTATTACAGCAAATGAAAAGCCAGAGACCCTTTTTAACTATACTAACATAAAAGGATATAATGCAACATTATAACGTTCCCATATACTATGTTTACCTGTGTATAAAAACACCGGTCACATTAACACTGATTGCCAACTGTTAAAAGTAAAACCTGAAGCTGTAAGATTTATGGCTGGCGCTGCCATAATTAAAAGGCAATACACTATAACGCTATGAATTACATTGCAGGGGATAATTACCATAACTGATTTCATGTAGAAATTATTGAGTATGCCATTTTCACACATTTCTATTACACACATCCATTAACTTTTTAAGCAACACGTTCAGTTGAGACTAGTCCGCAGGACAGAGGAGGTTAATGGCACAGCAGAGATGAAGAGGAATGACAACGCAGAAAATGTAGTCTTATTCTTGAGGTAGTATCTATGGAAAAGTGGACGTGCCAAATGGGAATCTTATGGGAAACTGGAGTTAGAGTATGCCAGCTTAAATAATGGGAATAAGAAAAAAATAATTGTTTCAATATTGATCCTCAGTGATGAGGCCGGAGGAGTAGACAGACATACAGACAATGGAAGCTGAACAAAGGAAAAGGATGGGAGAGGGAGATTTGGCCAAAACTTCTGCAATGCAGTGAACAGAAGAGCCGTAGAAATGAGCAGGACCCAGTAGTACCTATACAAACAAGCCCACATGCTTTAACTCCCTCCACACCAGAAGGCCTGCAACCACTGATAACAAAGGGATTAAGGGCTCTTGTCAAAGGCTCAGCTGGATGTTCTTTGTACATAATCAGCCTGAATGCTATAGGTAAAGAAGCAATAGCACATACCTGCTACAGTAACAAAGAATATAGACAGCAGATGACAGAAAATGCTATGAGTGTTTAATAGAAAAATATGAATTATTTTTTGAGGGATTCATGAACACCATCATCTAAAGAAGCTAGGATTGCTTTTTCTTATCTTTAGATCCGGGGTGGGCAACTCTGGCCCTCCAGCTACAAATCCCAACATGCCACTGCCTCTGGGAGTCATGCCTGTAACTGTCAGTCTTGCAATGCCTCATGGGACTTGTAGTTCCACAACAGCTGGAGGGCAGGAGTTGCCCACTTCTGCTTTAGATCAACAAATAAACTTTTACTTTTCTAAACTTAAGGTCTGTAATTATCAACTCCTTCTGCAAAACAGCAATATATAAATGTATTAACCCCTAGCAATGAGCATTCATGTGTCCCTGGTCCATCCATCAACTCAAATCTGGAAGTCATGGGACTCCCTTCTGGAGTAAGACCAACTTAGTTTCATTACATTGCCTGCTAAATACAAGCAAGGTGTAAAATGTTGTGATGTTATACAGTACAATTGCTTTGTTTTCCAATTGTAATTTAATAAGGAGCTCCCAGACCTACAACGTGATACAAACAAATATTCAGTCTCAAGTTCTACTACCGGATCATGGTACGAATGGTATAGATGGACTGTATCAATGGAGGGGAGCGCACACTCAATCACGGGGGATAGTCACATCCATAGGAGCGTTTAGTCTTATGTGAAACGAGAGCGTGCAGTTAACACATGGGCAGAAGACTGGTATTGTCTTACAAAAAGAAAATCTCCGGGTAAAACATGTATTAATGTTTTGATATTAACTTGGCCTGATCTAAGAAACTATGTAGCTGTGTGAAAGGTCTGTGAATAAAGGACCAAGTGTCTTCTATTACATAAGGACGGCCAATGAAAGAAATGTCTTTGTCCTATTGTCTAGGTACTACGGCTGCTATTGGTACTCGGTCTTAAAATTTCTAAACCTCCATCCCATCCCCCCTGCTCGTCCTCCCTTCAAAAGAGGAGACCTGCTGTTCTGTGTGCTGGGATGATCTCTGTGTGACGCTGTCACTGTGCTCAAACTGGCTTGCCTGTCAGGTCACTAATCAATGTCACTATGCAGAAGCTGCCTTGTATGTCTGGCCTTGCTCTAGCTGCGTGCAAGCGTTTACAGTATTTCATTCACATCTTTGTCTTCCTACAAGACTATTCTGCACCGTGCTATTATGTCAGCAGCATGGGTGCTTCGTTTTTTAGCTCATCTGGTGCCCACCATTCTCTTCATGCAGGGCTCTAAAGCCGTGTGTCTGCTCTCTCCCGATTGTTTACAATCCTGCCCCCTCTTCCTGGCTCTCCCCAGCTGACATGCTAATTCCTTTTCCCTCAGGCTCCCTTCATGTGTGCCATCTCCATGAGCTTCTTGTCTGTGCTGCTCCCTTACACACAGGTGACCCGGCTACTTCTGCTCCTTCCTTCACAGAACAGTCCTCATCCTTTATCTAGCATGGACACTTAGGCTAAGTCCCTGCGGCTCTTCTCCTGGTAACGGTTGTTCTCAGCTCACCATGTATCCATTGCATGCAAACACTGCCTTTGATTCAAGGGAACCAGTACCCTGTTATCTCTAGCACTGTACTCCGAGTATGTGAAGACACATCTCTGCCAGCATGTTGAGTCCATATCTACTTGCCAGCAATGGTCAATTTGACAAGACCCCCTCTACCCCCAGACACTGCTGTCACTGCTGCCCCCTCTCCTTCCTTTCTGCTCACTGTTCGCCAGACTAAGCCTATTTTTACACGCTGCATAATGTGTTTTGCCTGGCCTGAACCCCAGTCTGAACCTACAGTACAGTGTGCTATGCTCCATTCTGAGCTCATAGTAGAATGTAGTGTACCCCAGTGCTAGCCCATGGGAGAGAGTAGCGTGCGTACAGTCCATGTAGTGGGCTGTGCCCTAGCCTGACCATCCTGTGTAATGTACTGTGCCCCTGTCTGAGCCCATTGTATAGCCCGTGCAATGTGCCCCAACCTGAGGCCATCGTACAGTGTGCTGAAGCCCATCGTACAGTGTAGTGAGCCCCACTACAGTGTTCCAAGCTCCATCATACAGTGTACTAAGCCCCAGTCAGAGCTTAATCTACACCCTACGTAATGTTTTCTGCCTGAGCCCAATGTACAGCCCATGTAGTAAGCTGTGCCCTAGCCTGAGCCTATTGACCACCTTGTGCAATGTACTGTGCCCCAGGCTGAGCCCACTGTGCAGTGTTGTGTGCCCCAGCCTTAGCCCACACTGCTGTGATCTCCCATCATACAATGCAGTGTCCTCCCATCATACAGTATCCCCCTTCAGTACAGTGAAGTTTTCCCCCACCGTACAGTGTGCTGAGCCCCATATCATACGGTGCAGCGTGCCCCCCATCACGCGCTGCAGCGTTCCCTTATCATACAGCGCAGTGTGCCCCCATCGTACAGCGCAGTGTGCCCCCATCGTACAGCGCAGTGTGCCCCCATCGTACAGCGCAGTGTGCCCCCATCGTACAGTTCATTGTACACCCATCGTACAGTACATTGTGCCCCCATCGTACAGTTCATTGTACACCCATCGTACAGTACATTGTGCCCCCATCGTACAGTTCATTGTACACCCATCGTACAGTACATTGTGCACCCATCGTACAGTGCCCAGCCTGCCTTCTCCTTACTTGCCGAGCTCCTCGTACAGCTGGTATTCGTCCGTGAAGCGGGTGCAGGTCACTGGGATGGCCATACTAGTAGCTGTGGATCCGATCTCACATCGGGCGGGCTGCGGGCTGTCAGAGAGGAGGTAACAGCCGGGGCGAGATCTCTTCTGCTTCTTCCTCTGCGTCTCACCCTCCTCCTCCGGGGCGGCTCCTGCTTCCCCTCCCGCTCCCACCTTCTCCTCCCCTGCTGCCGCCGGACCCTTCGAGCCTCCGTCTGTCTGATGCCTCCGCTTCCCCCAGGTGACCCTTCCCAGATGACTGGTGTCACTCCGCTTCGGCCGTGCACTGTCACTGCTGGGAGGCCAACACCGCGAGACTTCGACAGGACACGCCCCCTTTCCCGCGGACGCCCAGCCCAGGGGGGAGAGATGGGGGGGAGGGGAGCAAACACCGGGTGGCGGTAGCAGGCTGTCACCGAGAGTTGGTCGTCAGAGCCGACCTCACCGTGCGCAGGATGAGGGTGTGCACGGTCCTCTAGTGAAAGTAAGACACAGACAGGGGACTTCTTCACCTATGTGAAGGGGACAGGGAGGGGACACCTTTCTTCAGAGGAAGTCACAGGGACGTACACAATCCACAAAGTTTATACGTGCCACAATGTCTGTCCTCACATTTCACCGAGCTGAATTACAAACACATGGAATGAACTCCACACACATAATATACAGAGAGGAAAGCTGAACTCCAGACACACATGGAGTATGCATGAGGTGAAACTGGAAAATCCAGACACTGAACATACAGAAAGTAAAGCTGAACTCCAAACACATAGAACATACAGAAAGTAAAGCTGAACTCCAGACACAGAGAACATACAGAAAGTAAAGCTGAATGAACTCCTGACACATAGAACATACATAACGTAAAGCTGAACTCCAGACAGAACATACATGTTAGGGAACCAAGAGCCCAGACAAAAACTTAAAGTTCAAGTTTAAAAAATAAAAGGAGTTTATTGAAAACACAATAAACATAAATGGCAAAAAAACAATAGAGAAAGTCCAGGACGTCATCAGTGCCAAGCGAGAGGTCAGTTGCCAAAGTGGGTAGTCAGCCGAGCCAGGTCAGCAAACACTAAGAGCAGGATCAACGGAAACAATAGCCGGAGTCAGGAACCAGGAGATCAGTCAACCAGGAGAACAAGAGGCTTATGGGGAAAGCGAGTATGAAAGGCGAGAACATCAGAGGAAGGAACCCAAAAACATCCTTCGTTGCCTTTCCAGTAGACCAGGTACTGGACTTGACCACTGACCCAACGAGAGTCAAGGATGCTACATATTTCATACTCCTCATGGTTGCCAACAGGAATAAGATGAGAACGAGGAGGAGTGGTGATATAACGACTAAACACTAGCAGCTTCAGGAGCAACACGTGGAAGACATTGGAGATCCGCACACTAGAAGGGAGGTCAATTGAGTAAGCAACCGGGTTAACCTTTCAGATAATACGGAAAGGCCCAATAGAACGGGTTGCCAATTTTGGAATAGGCACTGTGAGGTTGAGTTTACGGTCCGACAACCACACCCTCTCCGCGACTCGGTAAGAAGGAGCGGGTAGACACCTACGATCTGCCTGAAGCTTTTGGCGCTCCATAGAGGCATGAAGAGAATTCTGAAACTGCATCCAAGATGATCCTCCAAAGCCGGAATGCTCCTGAGGAATAAAAGATTCGGGTAACACAGATGGCTGAAAACCATAGTTAGCCATGAACAGGGTACATTTGGGAGGACAAGTTGATAGCACTGTTCCTAGCAAACTCTGCCCAGGGTAGCAGATCAGCCAAGTTGTCATGATGGTCCGATACATAGCATCTGAACTAATACTCCAAGGCTTGGCTTTATCGCTCAGCGGCGACATTGGACTGCGGATGATAGGCCAAGAAGAAGGAAAGTCAAATTCCCAATTGAGTGCAAAAAGGCCCACCAGAATCTAGAGACAAACTGGCTACCCTGATCCAAGACTATCTCCTTAGGTATACCATGTAAGCGGAAGACCTCCCTGGCATAAACAAAGGCAAGCTCCTAAGCCGTGGGCAACTTCTTAAATGGCATGCAATGGCTCATTTTGGAAAAACGGTCAACAACCATGAGGATGACGATATAACGAGACACATGAAGGTCAATGACCAAGTCCATGGTTAGGTGGGACCAAGGACATTCCCCAACGGGAATAGGTTGTGGTAGGCCTACAGGAAGTTGCTAAGATGATTTGCTTTGGGCACAAATGGAACATGTGGCTACATAAGCAGTGACATCAGTGCGGAGAGATGGCCATCAGAATTGGCAAGAAATAGTGCAAGTCATCTGATTCTTACCAGGGTGACTGGCAGTCTTGGAGTTACGGTAAGGAAGGTTGCAACAGTTTAATGCGTAAATTCTCAGGTACAAAACACTTATCGCATGATTTCTCAGAAAAAGCCATAGGTTGAGCAGGCAGAATCTGCTCTCCCAGGGGGAGAGGTTAAATTGGTGCATATAGTTGCCAGGATATGATCTGGAAGAATAAGTGAAGTGGGCACAAAGTCTTCCCTGGACAACTCAAAATATTGTCGAGACGGCATCAGCCTTCAAATTTTTTGAGCCAGGCAAATACGAGACCACATAATTAAACTGAGAAAGAATCAGAGCTCATCTGGCTTGGTGTCACAAGAGCCTCTTGGCCTCTGAGAGATAAATTACGTTCTTATGATCTGTTAGAATAAGAACAGGAACCGCAGTACCCTCAAACCGATGTCTCCACTCTTTGAGAGAAAGGCTTATGGCCAACAGTACTCTGTCTCCGATCTGGTAATTGCACTCCGCTGGAGATACATTTTTGGAATAGAACCCACAATGGTGTAAGGGACCATCTGGTGTAGAGCATTGAGACGAGGGCACCTACTCCTACTCAGATGCATCAACTTCAAGGATAAAAGGTAAGGCAGGATTTGGATGAGACAGGATCGGAGCAGTAGCAAATGTGCATTTAAGGGCTTTGAATGCCTTAATAGCAGCAGGAGACCAGTTTTGTGGATCAATGCCTATCTTAGTCAGGTCTGAAATATGTTTTGCTAGTGGTGAAAAATTTCTAAAACATTTTTGATAATAGTTGGCAAGACCAAAGAAATGTTAAATGGAGCGGAGACCAGTAGGACGTGGCCATTGTAAAAGGGTCGTCGCCTTCTGTGGATCCATGGAGAACCCCTCTGAGGGGATAATGTAGCCCAAAAAGGTAACCTGCCACTACTGAAATTCACATTTCTCCAGACTACAGAAACTCCCATTCTCACGTAAACATTGCAAAACTCGTCTAACATCCTGGCTGTGCAATTTAAGAGAGAAGGAGTGTAATGAAATATCGTCTAAATAGAATACCTTGCATTGTTGTAACATATCAGGGAGAACATTATTGAACTCTTGAAAGACCGTGGGAGCGTTGCATGATCCAAAGGGCATTACTAGATACTCGTAATCCCAGCTCCTGTTTTTAAACGCTGTCTTCCACTTGTGGCTCACCTTGATCCTCACAAGATTATATGCACCCCTTAGATCAAGTTTGGTAAAGACCGTTACTCCCTTGAGGCGGTCAAATCATTCCATGGTTAAAGGAATAGGGTAGGCATTCTTGATCATGATGCGATTGAGCCCCCTATAATCAATCCAAGGTCTCAGATCGCCACCCTTCTTAACAAAGAAAAAGCCAGCTCCTGCTGAAGAAGTGCATTTGCAGATGAACCCTCGTGAAAGCGCATCTACAACGCACTCCTCCATGACCTTATTCTCTGCAACAAAGAGAGGGTAAACTGCACCAGGCTACAATTAGATAGCACAATAGTAGGGATGATGTGCCGAAAGAGTACCAGCACGCACTTTATCAAAGACATCCTGACACTCCAGATATTCGGTATGCAACATGGAGACCGAGGATATACAAAGTAACTGGCCTATGGATGCACATAGCATTACATTGTGGAGACTAAGAGAGGATCTCAGATGTTTGCCAATTGAAGGTGGAGCTATGTTTCTGGAGCCACATGTAACCGAGAACAATAGGATAGTGAGGAGAGGAAATATCCTGGAATAATACCGACTCCCTGTGTAAGGCCCCTACAGCCAGATCGACCAGAATGGTCTCGTGTGTAATATGTGCAGGCTTTAAGGGTCTGCCATCAATGGCCAATGGAGCTGCATGAGGCAACAGAAGAATGGAATACTCTAAGGCAAACACGCTGCCAATAAAGTAACCAGCAGCACAGGAGACCGGAGTATACAAAATCCTGAGTGACAGCAGAGGAATTGGCCCAGGAGAGGACAACCGTAATTCATGGTTTGTCTTTTTGGAGAACTGGGGACAAAGTAATTCCACCTAAGGTCTGTCCCCGACAGGATCTTAGGTGCAAGGGTTTCCCGGAAATGTTGGACACTTCCTTAGGAGATGCCCATCGAGACCACAGTAAAGGCACAGGCGTTCCCTCCTCCTGTTGGCCCACTCAGCCTCAGAAAGGCAAGTGAACCCCATCTGCATGGGTTCACTGCCTGATGCACTATCCCCAGGAGCCATGGGTGGGAAAGAAAACATGAGAGCCAGTCTGTTAGGAGGCCTCCACAGGCGATCGCTAAGAGATGGTCTCTCCCTAAGCCTGGTATCGATCAGGAAAGAAATGAGAGCCTCAAACTCACTAGGCAGGTCTTTGGCTGCAATCTCATCCTTCAAGGTGTCGGAGAAGAAGATGTGAGAAGGCAGCCACCAGAGCCTCGTTATTCCAGCCCACCTCTGCCACTAGGGTATGAAGTTCAATAGCATACTCAGCAATTGTTTGTGTACCCTGTAGGATAGACATGAGCTGCTTGGCAGCAGAGGTGGAATGAGCCAGTACATCCAATACCCAATGAAAGGAGGCAACAAATTCAGGGTAATTGTGTATGACAGGTTTATTGTTCTTTGATAAGGGATTCCCCAGGTCAAGGCCTTATCCGAGAGCAATAATATCAGGAAGCCCATATTTGACCTATCAGATGGAAATGCATGAGGAAGCATTTCAAAATAAATGCCCACTTGGTTAAG